GGGGGGGGGGGGGGCATCACTGCGGATGATAAAAACAGGATCAATAAGATGATCAGAAAGGCTGGCTCAGTGATTGGCCTAACCCCAGACTCACTAGAAATCACTGTTGAAAAGCGAACAAGGGCCAAGTTAAAAACAATTGTCTTGTTTGAAGGCCGTCCACTACACGGTGTCTTCAATGGACTCCGAAGCTCATTTAGTGAGAGACTCAGGATGCCTCAGTGTTCTACTGAACGAATAAGAAGGTCTTTCGTTCCAGCAGCAGTCCGATTTTTTAATGAACACCTTTAGATGTTTTTATCTTTCTGATGTCGATCATGTTTTATATGGCATTGTCTGGTGTTATTTATCCTTTGTAATGTGTTTCTGTCTGTTGTGTACTGTGGACTGTGTCGTCTGTATGACTTTTTGGGTGGCAAATGAGTTTCCCCACTGGGGATTAATAAAGATTTCTAATCTAATCTAATCTAATCTCTAAATTTGTATTATTTACTTGATAGCTTTAAGTTAATTTGACATAACCCTGATGTTGTAGTTGTATTTGATTTATTTTTATTATCCCTACCGTCTCTGTATTTGATTATGATCCTGCTTAACTTGGCGCAAATAATATCTATAATTTGAGACATGTAGAGAAGCGTGACGTCACGCCTTCAGGGGAATGCCCCCGAGAAACAAAAGCCTGACAGGAGGAGAATGAAGATTTGTGCCTTTAAATGTGCGAGGCAACCAACTCCAGTGGCCTTGATGAGTCAAACTAACGTTTAGCTAAAGGTAGCTAAGCTATGATGCTTTCTGTTTGTTTGTTTTTTTACATTTTACACAGCAGCACAACTTTTGGATTAAATTGAGGTTGTAATAATAGAGTTATCAGCGGTTGTATAAAGGGAGAGAGGGTTTAACCAGTGTGCAGAAAGGATATCACACATTTTTTTCCCTCTCTTCTATCATTGTAAGTGCCAAATCTGATGACCCGTTGTCCCCTGACTGGGTTCCATCACACAGACCAGCTACCAAGAAGAGGAAAAGGGAGAAAGACATTTTTTCACCATTTTATAGACCAAACAAGTAATTGATTAATCGGGAAAATGATCGACCATGAAAATAATCATTAGTTGAAGCCCTATTGTAAAGTCTGATGCGCACTATATCTGAGCTGTAGTAATAGACTTACTTGACAGTATTTTTCACTGTCTTGGAAAAGGACATTGTCATTTTATTACAATCATGATTTAATCTTTCAAACACTTTGGTTGTAAAACACATGATTTGATGTGCTGAATATTTCCTAAAACAAGTTAAACTGAATCATGAAATGTTGTGTTTTAAAATATTTCTGTCATCAGAAGATGTTGCAATGTCACTGCATTTTATTATGTTGATTTAGTTTTTCACTTTAAAATAAATATTTTTTCACAAGTAACAATTCTCAGGCACTTCTTGTGGAAAGTTGCTGTAAAATCTGATAATAAACCAAACATCACCATCTGCTGGTAATGAAATGAAATGTGAGGATAGAAAGCGAAACTTAAAGCTGGTTTCTACGTTGCTGAACGGAGCTGAGAGACGCCATTACAGGGAGGAGTATCTCTACTGTAAACATTAAATCAGAAGGATTGTAATCTGTAATTTAAAGAGACACAGATTTGGTGAGTCTTGCTGTTTAAAGATATTCACATATCAGAGCAAATGGCTGAGAAAACCGCTCTTTTTGAAGGTTTCCTGAACTGCCATGTTTGTTCAGAGACGTTCAGAGATCCTGTGTCTCTGAGCTGCAACCACAGCTTCTGTTCAAGCTGCCTGCAACTATTCTGGAAACAAGTTGAAAACAAAAACTGTCCCATTTGTAAAAGAAAGTCCTCAACGGATGAACCAGCAGTGAACTTAACACTGAAGGGACTGGCTGACTCGTTTGCTGAGAGACAGAATAATGGTTCACCTGAGACGGACCAAGAAAAGGAGAAAGAGGAGGTCGTGTGTGAAAAACATCCAGAAGTTCCTTATTGGTTCTGTGAGGACGAGCAGAAAGCTGTGTGTCCTGTCTGTGAGTTTTCTCTCCACCAGAGTCACAAGGTGGTTCCTATAGAACAAGCAGTCAGTGACCTGAAGGACCAGCTGAGATCTGACTTAGAGTCTCTGCAGGACAAGAGGGACAAACACAAACAAGTGGAGGAAACATGCAATGAAATGATTCAACACTCCAAGAAGCAGCTGTTGTCCACAGAGAGGCAGATCAGAGCAGAGTTCAACAAGCTCCACCAGGTCCTGAAAGAGGAAGAGGAGTCCAGACTGGCAGCTCTGAGGGAGGAAGAGGAGCGGAAGGGGAAGACTATCAGCAGAGAGATGAAGATGATTCAGGAGCAGATCTCCTCTCTGTCAGACAGCATCTCTGCTGTTGAAGAAGACCTGCAGAAACACAACGTGTCATTCCTCAGCAGTTATAAACCCACTCAGACCAGAGCCAGAGTCCAGACCTCACTGTCAGATCCACAGCTGGTCTCAGGAGCGCTGATAGATGTAGCCAAACACCTGGGCAACCTGTCCTTCAGAGTCTGGGAGAAGATGAAGGACAAGGTCCACTTCAGTCCTGTTATTCTGGACCCAAAGACTGCAAACCCCTTTCTCTATATGTCTGATGATCTGACCAGTGTGAGACATGGAGACACAAACCAGAAGCTTCCTGACAATCCAGAGAGATTCACTGAGTATGTCATTGTTCTGGGCTCTGAGGGCTTCAGCTCAGGGAAACACAGCTGGGAGGTGGAGGTGGGAGACCATCCTAACTGGGTTGTTGGTTTGGCTAAAGAGTCAGTTGACAGGAAGGGAAAGATATTTGTTTCACCACAATATGGAGTCTGGTGTTTAGTTCATGACAGTGGAAAATACAATAATGGATCTGGTCAGACTGTCATAGTGAAGAAGAGTCTCCAGAGGATCAGAGTCCAGCTGGACTATGACATGGGGGACGTGTCCTTCTACGACCCTGAAGACACGACTCAGATCTGCACTCACAGAGACACTTTCACTGAGAAACTCTTCCCATTCTTCAGTATTGGAAAGTCTGGTGATGCTAAAACTGCTGATATCAAAATGTGTCAAACTGATATTTCTCTGTGATGTTCAGGGAGGGTGGTGAGGTCTCAGTGAATTATCAGGATTTTTATAATGGTGGTGTTTTTGTTAATAACAGACTATTCCAGTTAGTTCTTTAATTTGATAATACATGAAGAAAATGTAGAGTTAAAGAAACATAAGATTTGAGTTTGTGATGTAAATATGCTGAAAGAACTGGGACCAGTAGATTTCATGGGATCATTTTATTTTCACGCTTATACAGATTTATTTTTATTTCTAAGAATGAACAAGTTTGTTTCCTTTTTTAAATTTAATTTCAAATAGTCTTTAAATTTATCATTACCATGTTTATTTTTTACATTTTAGAATTATTTTTCATCTTGTAATCATGAAATCTTTGTTTCAGTAAATAACTTTCTCAAAATGCATCAATATAAAATCATTCAGATTAATAAATAATTCCTTTTCATAAAATGACATTTTTACTGTTCAGAATGGACCAAACAGTGAATGTTGATGTAATAATTAACCTGTTATTTACTATATGTGACTGTTGATATATTTTACATTGTAACAGTTCTATCTATATGATTAAACGTAGTCTCCTTCCTCATTTTTGTTTCTTTAAATGTCAAATTCTGCAGAAATTGCTTGATAATGTTTATACTTCTTCAATGTTGAGCCCAAATTATAAAAGCACAAAATTGTAATAAAATGTGACATTGACTTTAGGATTGTGTGTATTAGTGCTGCTACTAAAAGCTTTCTATTATCAATTAATATGTTGATGTTTTTAATCATTAAATATCAGAAAATTGTGAAAAATGCCAAATAAAAACAGCAAATACTCAAATTTGAGCAGATGTGTAGATTGTTTTCTAGATAAATTATTTTAATGATAAATGATTGTTGGTATTGGCAACAATATGAGTTATTAAATTGTATTAAATTGCATGTTTTCTACCTGGTCAGCAAATATTGTGGTCAAAAACGTGAATGAGTGACTTCTATCAATACAAAGCTGTGCTGCAGTTTGATGTGTTTGCAAACACAGAAACTGATTCACTTTTCTATTTCAATGATCATTTTATTGATAACACCGTAACACATTTTCTTGAAGTCATAGAAACACGTGTAGCACGTAAGAGAACAGAGCAATAATCTGAAGAATCAGAGAACTAGAGGATTAATATTATCATACAGAAGAAATCCAAAGACACAAAAAGAGACAAAGGGAAACTAGAAAGAGCCAACTGCAGAGAAATGATTGAATAAGGTCTGAAACAGAGGGAACGGGAGAAAGAGAGAAAGATCAAGAGAAGACAACTCAGTGTTGTCAGTGCACCGTAGTCACTGTCTGGAGGAAGAAGATGGCGGAGGTTCAGAGTGAACACGGTGGCTCCAGTTGATCTCAGTAATGCTTCATCTGACTAAACAGCTGAGGGGAAGGCAGCAGAGCTCTCAGTGACCTCCAGACACCAGAGAAGGACTGTTATTGTAGTTTATATGTAGGGCTGCACAATGAATCATCTTCTATCATCATGTCAGCTTTGATCATTCATACACAATCAGGATTTATCAGAGGTTTATCAACTGCTGTTGTCTCTGACTGCAATGTCTGTCAGATTTGACACTAAAGTCAACTTGTTGTGCAGCTGCATCAGAGGCATCAATGTGCTGTCCGTCTGTGTGTGTTTGTGCTTTACTCTGTGTGACTGCGCCCCCTGCTGGAGCTCCTTCTCTCTTTGAGCTGCCTCTAATCGCTCAGTTGGACTCGAGTGCTGCCCCTCAAAGTGACATGCAGGCTCAGTGAAGCACCAGTCACTCTTGGTGCTGATGGTCAACGAGCGCTCCTCGTGTTCTCTCAGCTACGTGAGATGTTCTGCACTGACAACACGGAGCCCCATAGAAAAGCATGAGAGGTCATCTTCATCATCATCAACACTGTCAACATCCTCATAGCGCCACAGTCACTAACATCATCATGCTGATCATCTTCTTTGTATCATCTTGAGACTAAAATGATTTATATGCACTTAAAAAGCTGAGAGAATATAGAAAGGTCGAGTATAACAGCATTCAGTAGAAAATGAGAAACCAAATAAAAAGGAAAACACCAAAAACCAAGTGTCCAGTTGACTTTCATGCAAAGTAAATGCCAGCTACGCTGTTGCAGGTGTGTAATACTGTGTCCTCCCTCATTTAAAACATGTGAATCCTATTATATTTCAATACTTTCAAGGCTTGAAACACAGCAAGAAGAACAGAAGAACAACACCTTTGGACATGCTGCTATCTCTTCTTTTTTTTGGAGGGGGGGGGCATGTTTGACCAGCACGATCCCACTTGAACACCTTCAGGTAGCCTTTGACCTTTTAGTGTTAGAAGACGGTCAACTAGGCGTTAACACTGTTACTGGATGAGACACGAGTACAATACAATGTCTCAGTGGTTCATTTGTAAAAAAGCTTCATCACCTTAAAAAAAAAAAAAAAGAAGCTTTTGGAGCATCAGTTCACTCAAAATACAATCCTGAATTATATGAGATTAAACGTGATAGATGTCCCACTCTGGCAAAGTGGTAATGACCTTAGTGGAAGAGAGCGAAAACAAAAACAACCCCAATCTAAAGTTGCAGAAGAAAAATCGCAAAAAATAAAAAATAAAACATTAATTCCCACCATGTTGGTCGTTTCAGAGAAACACATGCAGGATGCAAATTAGGTGTACTATCCCTTTAAAAAAACGTACATGGAGTACACTCCCTTTCAACAACAGACAGTACTTGCACAAGTGCACGAGTTGTGTAATAGGAAAACAAAAACAAAAAGAAAAGCACAATAAAATTATCCACTAAAATAAATAAATAAATATTCAAAATAAATAGAAACCTGAGGACTATTCATCAAACCGACTGCCCGGTCTCTTTAATATCTTGGTCTGACCAATAGGGGCGAGACAAATGTGAAGGCAGCCAATGGTGGACGAGCAGAGTACAGAAGAGCTGATCGCAAGTCAAACCCCCTAAAAAAAACAACTCTCAGTGCTGCAAAGTCCATCAGATTAATCTTGCCACCCCTGGCACAAGCACTTAATATCATAAAAAGCTGATAATACATGAAAAACATAATACGAGAAAAGAAAAAAACAGATAAAATCATAATATTTTTTTTAAAAAGCCCTGGACTGAAGGCAGGGGACTGATGTGTCCTCCGAAATAAAGCCTTCTCCTTACATCTTTTACACACCTCCAATATTTCCCCTCCAGACTGAGAGCAATGGATGTACTCTACATGCCTGCAGACAGACAGACACACGACCACACACACTAACACACACCCTGTGGCAAAGAATCGCCCTGAAATGAGGAACCAGACCCCAGAAGTCTGACACAAACCTCACTATCTGCACACGTTTACGAAGGTACGGCGGACAGCTCCTCACACGTGTAGAGGCTTTAAGCATACACGCCCTTGATTCTTTATTACTGATATGGGCAATGAACATGAATCCCCGAGTACCTTTTTAAAACACCGCTAGCTGCAGAACAAAATCATCATTGTGTGAGAAGAGGCATGTCACTGCTGCTGTGAGCAAAACATAGCGCTCAGTTTGTTGTCATCTAAAAATATTGTAAACCTTCGATGTTACGGTGTGACATATTTCTCTCATTAACAAAATATGTCATAACAAGAAAACGTTCTTATTATATCACAAGTTGGTTTAATAAGACAAAACATTGTTTTTTAATCCTTTCTCATTTGTTTGTTTTATGGGGCATTTAAATGTTGCGAGTCCTAATGAGCGACACAATACAACATCTAAACTAAATGTCGATGCATTTTTTAAATTTGAAAAAGTGTATTTTTGGTAAATTCATAATTAGCTGTGATTTGCGTTTTTAAACGTTCTTGAATTTGTTAAAAAAGTGTTTGTTTTTGAGTAGATTAACGTTTTAGTGTCCAGCTAAACCTGTTGATGTTTCTCTGGTCACAGTTCATAGTTTAGTCCAGGACTTACGATAAACCTGAGTTTACTTTAAAACCGTACTGGGACTTGTTTCTGTGCAGCCTTTCGTAACTCTCCACTTCATTTAAGAGATATGATTCTGCCTTTAAGAGGTCCTTCTTCTGTATAGCCCTGCATGTTTGAAAAATGTTCTTAATGTCTGCTTCTATGTGCTCAATTAAAGCTACATCACCCTCAAAATACCTCAGTAAAGTAAACTAAAGTATCAAACGATACCTTTTCTCTCATATTGGCTGTGATCTTTCCTCCTATACAAATAATTTCTTTATATAACACACCAACCTGTTTTGGGATAATGTGTAAAAAGGGGATGTGTTATTTTAACATTAAGTTTCTTGTTGAAACAAAACAAGTTAGTATGTCATCTACAGCATTAAATATCTTGTCATATTTTTTAAAAATTGTCTCATTGTGGAAACATTGTCGCTAACGTCCTCGTCATTTTCAGCGCAGGGCCTTCTACCATTACAGCGTCGACCACTAATATGTAAAAGTCAACGATAGAACTCCTGTTGCATGCTGTTTGCTTTGTATGTTTGAAATGTTGACGTTTTGAGGCAGGAAGACACTGAGCTCAGCTCACCCCTTTTACATTGCAGCAAGAGGAAAAAGCACAGCAGCTTCCTGAAACTGTACCGAGTCGTAAAGTTTGAACTAGTGTGTGTCGGGCTTACATCACCACATACTCACTCACTCACACACTCACACACACACACACACTCTCTACATTCACACATGACACCATCAGACACACCCCTTCCAAAAAAACAACAACAAAAAGAAGAAAAAGAAAAGAAAACCCCAAAACAAACTAAAACAAGTTGACCATGAGTTCGGGCGCAGTATTATAGCTCACATACAAGAAGCAAATTACAAAAACTGCCAATATCATATCCACTTAATAGCCACAATAAAAAAACAGCCACTGTTAATATGGGAAAAAGACATGCTTCCTTAAAAAGAGAGAGAAAAACTAAAAAGATTTCATTCAACTCTAGAGACCACTGGCATCAAGAACTTTGAATTATACAAATTACATATACGATTGCAAATGTGTAACAATAATAATGATAATAATAATAATAATAATAATAATAATAGAGTAATGATAATAGATTTTACTTAAAACTTTACATACTGTATTTCCAGTGCAGTGTTTATGTCACACAAGTGTAGATTCACAGGAGGACAAGAGGGTTGGTGTCACAACAAATTGTGGGGAAGGGAGGAAGAGAGCACAGGAAGAAGGAATCACACCGAGTGCTGAAAACAACCCAAACCCCCCCGGTGTGCCGGAGGGAAGAAGAGGAAGGACGTCGAGCCATTTGTTTGAGAGTTGTCAGAAGATGTTGTGGGGCAGGTGACAGACAGTGGTAAAAGAAGCGATGCATGCTGGGGGCTGAGCCGAGCGTCCAGTGTGGGAGGATCTGTTGTTGAAGGGCCTGTCCCCAAACCAACCCTGGAGTTGTTCTTTCATCCTTTCATTCCTTCTTCCTCCTCCTCCTCTTCCTCCTCTCTCTCTCCAGCAGAGCACTCCTGACAGACATAGTTATAGCACTCAACCCTGAGAAGAAAAACAAAAACAGTGTCAAATCAATTAAATATAGAACCCTATTTCTGTTAGTGCACATTATGACGTACTTTTGTGGGCAGAGCGACGGTGGAGGCAGAATAATACTTTGAACACGTTCGTGAACGCTGGCTAGCAAGTTTTGTTGGTTTGGTTTTTCAGAACGGTCTCTCTCTGAGCCAATACTCATTTTTACTGAACAGAGCCTGAAGGCATCATAATGTAACCGAACGTAACCTTCGTTCTCCTCCTGTCGATTTAAACATATTTCATTTTTTTACAATGTAACACTATCAGAGATCGGCGACTAGAAAAGCATATACTATGCCGAACCGCGAGGGGGGCTCCGTACCGATCAACAATGGTCCGTTACACCACTAGTTGTACCCCATCCAAACAGTTGACAAAACCTCCACACAGTACATGAGGAACAAATGCAAAACGTAACTTGAATGATTAATTGGGTAGGAATACCTCAGAGGTAAAGCAGAGTTGCTGTGCTTTCTTCGGACTATTAGTATATAAAGGATGATGGAAACACACAGCAACCAACTTTTCTACCTCTCAATCTATTGTTCTGGCCTTCTACTCCTCTATTTCCACTCTAGGTTATTATCTTTGACCGTCAGTTAAGTGACATCCCTCGCTCTATTAATCTGGTCACGGATTCATTCACCACCCGCATCTCCTTTCCGGAGAAGCAGTTTGAAAAAAAAAAAAAAAAGCAAAATATTACAAAAATGCTCCGAAAAAGGAAAACCTTCTGCTGTCAGTTTTCTCCCAGCTGCCCCGGTGCTGTCGTCCATACCTCACTGGAGCGGCGCAGCTGGTGCGCCTGAGCAGTGGAAGTGGATGTTCTGCCACTTGCTGTCTCTGCGATGCCAGACGCGCGTTTCCTCCGACTGGCTGGACCGCGGCCGACCCTGGTTGTCAACGAACTGAGTCAGGCGGATGTAGGCGATGCAGGCCGCGTCCTCGCCGATCAGGTGGACGTGAGGGTTCAGGATGGTGGTGTGGATGGGCTTGCTGTTCTTAGCCAAAACTGAAAAAAAGATGACGAGGATAATGTCAGGAGAAAGAATGAGCAGGATGACACAAACTATGCAATGTGATGCGTGACACTAATCATCACAATCTCTGTGGATGTGGGAGCTGCTGTGGAATATATCTTCTCTATGGTTAACCTGACCCTCCAGATGGTTTGTTAAACAGAACCTTCTGAGAAGCCTTCATTAAAAAGTGTTTTGAGCCTCATTTTGTGATTCAGACATATCAGATGTGTATGTTTACACTAAAAGTAAAGAGAAACAAGATAAAACAATACAAAACTAAATCCAAAAACATTATTTACAAGCACTGCAAGAAGCGATTTAAAAAGAAAAAGACAACAAATAGCAAAGAAATCCATCACTCTTACGGTTCTCAAAGTAGAATCTGTGGAAATCCATCCCCTCTACCAGGTTGCCCAGCGCCTCCGGCTCAAACGAAGTCAGTCCAGGGTCGCAGATCTTACTGAAGAGGAAAGAGAAAAGACATATTAATGAAGACACACGTTAGCTTTGAACTACGCATTTGAACCCAAACCACACACAAAAACGCAGACTCACGCGTATGCCTCAAAGTCTCCATTGTTGATTGCCTCTATCAGCTGCTCGGTGATCTTGATAATTTCTTGTTTGCGCACTGCAGTGGACAAAACGCACAGAAGCTAATCAGAAGTAATCGCAACAGTTGGATAGATGGAGAGCGGTTAGGTTTATAAATCCTTTTAATTTAATGCAACACAAGACAGTTAGAGCCCAAAATGCATTCATACTCACTGAGAATGCTGTTATTTGTGAAAAACGGAACTTCTCTTGTTTACATAATGAGCGGGGGAAAATATGCTTTGTAGTGAAATAGCTTTAATTGTGGATTCTGTATGACACATCTGTAAAGATGCAAGTTAATTCACTCTTGAATTAGTTTGTGAATACATTTCTTAATCACGTCAAACAAAAACAAAAACAATCTACACACAGACCCATGTTCATCTCAATATATCATCGCAAACAATCACATCCGTCTATTTAAAGACATCCCAACCAGTCAAAAGCAACCGAACGATGCATCAGTCCGTGTGCAGTCAGCAGTGCTCTCCATGGCAGACTGAAGAGGTTAATGAAGCTCAGAAGCAAAACCCACACACATCCAGATTGCTCAATTTCCAACTTAGCTGACCGCAACGTTATGTACTTTACTCTAAGTACTTTCCAAAAGCAGAACACACTGGCTGTTAAATACGCTCGCTGAAACGCCGTTTCATTAGGAACCGTGATCGGCTAAGATGCGTAGGGTGGCGGTGGGTCATGCTCGGTACTCACTCTGGGAGGAAGACAGGGAAGGGCTGGAGGGGGAGTGAGGGGGAGGTGGGGATGTGGTGTGTGCAGGTGGATGGGTGGGCCTGGCGCTAGGTACCAGTGCAGCGTCACCCTCGGGTGCAGGGGCCGCCGGCACCCTGCGGACGCTGCTTACCAGGTCTGTGAGCCGAGACACTGCGTGCCGTCCAGGCAAGATGGACGGATGCGTGGGTGGTGGTGGAGGAGGAGGAATGCAAAAGAACAGGTAGAGAATAAAGGAATGAAGAAATAAGGAAATCCCTTTAGGAATTTGTGTATTTGTGGTCACAATAACTATAAATAGCAAAGCATAGCAACAGAGGAGGAACAGAGGAAAAGGATTGTTTTGGATTTATTTTCATGGCCACTTTTGTTTTCTCCTCCAGCGGCCGTCTACAGTACACTCCATGTCTTTGCTCTTTTCTACTTACTCTGCAAGGGGACAGCGGGGGTGTGTGGAGGGGAGGGGGCAGAGAGGGCAGTGGGAGGTGGAGTGGATCTCCCTTCCCCGTTGGATGTGGGCCCTGAGCCCCTACGCACTGAGCCCAGCAGGTCAGCAAACTTTGTGGCAGCTGAGTTCAGGAGGGATGAAGATGGGAGACAGTGCACTTAAATGGAAGCATTGTGGTCATACAGATGAACAAACTTTGTCTTAGAGAGCAATAAGACGAGCCGGCCACCCAGCCGAACAGCTCTCTTAGACAAAGTGTGACTCACAAACGGTGAAGGGAACATAAAAGACAAAATTCATGCTTGGTAATGTCTGAAAAACAATGTTAAGACACAGACTGCCATGGAGGTGTATTGTGTTGCTAGTCCCATTTAAGTCCGTGAGAAGGAGACGAGGAGGCAACCTCCATTTCTAAAAATCTAAGCCAACGCGAAAGTGCCTTAAACTTGCATTGTCTTTATTGGTCAGCAGGGAGCGACTCCTCTGGTTGCTAAAAGAATTCAGAATGTATAGAAGTCTATGAGAAAATGACTCTACTTCTCACTTGATTTATTCCCTCAGTATTGTAAACATGAGTTTATGGTCTTGATCTCTAGTTTAAAGTCTTCTTCTATACAGCATGATGTTTATTTAATAAATTATGGTCCATTTAGAGTCAAATAGACCATAAAGCAGGGCATGCTTTAGGGAGGGCAACCTTGTGATTGACAGGCCGCTACCAGAGCTGAATACGGCGTCTCTACGTCACTCCTGCACAGTCTAAATATGGTCACTTCCTGTCACTGGTTGATAAAAAGCCAAGATGGCGACGGCCAGAAAGCCGAACTCTGTAGGCTTTTAAAACGTCCACAAACCAGTGGGTGACATCACGCCAACTACGTCCATTTCTTACATGCAGTCTATGGTCTAAACACACATGGCGTGGAACAAGGGGGGCGGGGCCTGTTTCTCACAACGGCTTTTTCTTTTTTGACTATTTACGTTATTATTGGATGTTTTCGACTCTCTGATAGTGAAACATACAAAATGGTGCTGACTAAGAAGAGGAATGAAGCGCAGCAAGGGTCAGGGTACGAGAGGGATTTAGTGGTGCTAGATGGCAGCAGATGTATGCTTTTAATACATGCAGGGACACTAAATGGAAGACACACAAGGGAGGATTTAGTCAAGGTGAATTTATAGTACAGCATCATGAATGTGTGTGTGTGTGTGTGTGTGTGTGTGTGTGTGTTACAGGCTGCATTTGGCGGGCCATGCTGACTTACAGTACACCGCAGGTGAGGAGCCCTGGGTGCTATCTGGCTGGGAGCTTGTGCTGGACTGCGCCTTAAGCGAGCTGTTGTCTAAGCTCTTTCCTGATAACATGCACACACACAGAGAATGCAGAGAGATATGACAACCAGCCGCACACATGGTGCACAACAACACAACAGAAATGTCACAGTGGGGAATGATGGGAAGGGCAGAGAGAGCATGATATGACATGGTGGGGGGGCAAATAAATACAAGATGATAAACCCCGTCAACCTTTTATAGCTCGGAGGAATTACAGCTACTTTTCACTGACAGTCCTCAGTCACCAGATCTCATTGAAAAAAGACAAAAAATAACGTTTTCCTCGTTATCCCAGTTAATGACTCCATTACAGCAGGATCTACCACTAAAGCTGCTGCTTCATTTTACCGAGACTTTAATGGAAGTCTTGCCAGAGAGCAGAGGATGGATGATGGAACCGGTGTTGGCCGTGATAATGACGGAGAATCGGATGTTACTCACTACCGCTCGTCTGTTTAATCAGCTGTCACAGAAGGAAACACAACAATTGAACACTCATTGACAAATAGAGGGAAGTAAAGCGTCCCTGCAGGAATAAAAAATAAAAAATAGATGGCAGGAGAGGAAAGAGATCAAAAAGAGTTTTGTTTCCACCAAATTCACAGACCAACGCAAACAATCCACAACAAATGCATCAATAAATGTAAATGATCTCAGAAAGATGTCAGTGTGCAGCCCGCACTTGCTTGACTGACAGGTGATCCTTCAGAAGACAGAAACATCCCATCAATTAGCACTCAAATCCACAGATGTCACAAAAAGAAGAACTTCAGGATCGTCAATTTAGCAGCAAGCAATCCTACAAATTACAACAGACGTTAAAAAGTATCACCTACAAAATGAAACTGTAGATTAAAGACAAGCAGCCCTCAGAAAACTCTCAGTGACATATTCTCTGCTATAAAAGTATTGAGAGTAACAGGACAGATATGTGTTCAGATGCTCCAAGAGCCAGCACAGGTGTTGGGTTACTAAACCAGCTGTCGAGCACTCCCTGACCTGACAAGATCCTACAAAAAGGCCGACATGTCACACATTGTCCCACGAACCAAACACTCCCGCACTCACCTGGCTCTTGTAGTTTTCTCCGGTGCTGACCGTGCTATCTGCGGAATCGAATCTTAAGAGTCTGAAAAACTTCTGTGTGCGAGACTGATAATATCCAAGGGTGGCGCTAGCAGAGCGGTGTGTGTTTAACTCCTCTCTGGGCACTCCGTCTCCTGCCACCAGTGCTAAATTTAGGACCCCCCAAGGTGCCCTTGCCCTCTCCTGCCAGAGGGGCGGGGTGGTAGGGCTCCAATCTGGGACCTAGGGTAGCAAACCTTTCACTGTGTGTACAGTAGAGGACAGGATTTTAAGGTGCCGTGACGCTCCTTTGGGCTAACCTACTTCCATCTAGGGTATAGTTTTAAAATGTAATTTTAAATGAGCAACAGTGTGAACTTTAAATATTCTAACATTTTCATTCAGAAGTTGTTAGCTGATCAAAACGTTTGTTCAAATGCAGCTGATCGTGCTGTTTTCTTTTACCTGGAACATTTAACAAAAGTCATACGCTTCTTCCAGGTGTATCATTTCCTTGCCTTGTCATTATAATGAATAGAACACCTGACGTCAAGGGTGAAATTAATGGATTAAATGTATCCCTGATACTGTCAGATTCATTTTGTATTTTTCCTGAGGTCACTCTTTTGCTTTTTTGTCACATATTTACTGAAGTTGTGTCCGTGATTAAAAAAAATCACTGTTGTGTATTATTGAGAAATTGCGGTCTTCTATGTTTACTTTACTTTTTAATGTCCAATAAATTAAATTATATTTATACAGTATATATATATACACATGGATTGAGGTGAGATTTAAGGGTTTAATGGCTAAACCCACATGTACAGTCTGACCTGTCTCTGCAGCCAGCTCAGCAGTCTCCATGTTGAGATAATCCCTCAATCATAGATATGCCCTGAATTTTGTATTTTCAAAGCAAGAGCTTCTGCTTTTAAAATGAGCACGATACCAGTAAAAAATAAGAGTTAATCTGCTTGAATACTGCTGGATAATTGTAGCACTCTTTCCGACACGGTTAATTTCTCTGACAGACCGACATGACGGCTCTGCCAGGGTTTGCGAGAGACATTTGTGACGTAGCAGCAAAGCTTCTAAGGGGAAGACGAGGGGATGGAAGCGCACATTCTGTTCTTAATGCCCAGCAATAAATGATACACGCATGACTCGATTTAGATGCATTGTACTCAGGTTGGATGTGGAGAACAGTGGGTGTTTGAGTGTGTTGGCATAGATAAGCACAGGCACACGCACACAAAGTCGCACATCACACAAACACAGATTCATTCCCCCACACACAAATAAGGCTTGAGACACAAAAGCCCTTTGTGAAGTCGTGTGCGATTTGCGCCACTAAGACAGTCATTTTAACAATTCCAGCCACAAGCAACACACACACAAACAACACTAGTACACGACTCTGCAAGCTGACACCATAGACAGCAATGTTGGTATTTCAGAGTTGTGTGTTTCTGAGTATTAAGATTTACAACACTTTTAAGAGAGCCAATCCACAGCAGCATCACAAGGATTCTGACATTTCACACACACACACACACACACACACACACACACACACACACACACACACACACACACACACACACGCACACACGCACACACACCCACACAATCCAGCAGAAGGAAGCAATACAGCCAGGCTCCACCAGGGGGCAGTAAGAGGTCAGCTATCAGCCGGTTGACATACTACATTCTACACAATCCAAGTCTCACATCATGTGTACTTATTACTATCTTTAAAACTAAGTGTTTGAAATATCTCATCTTTTGGTGTTCACGCTGTCACTGAATCTTTCAAAAAATAAGTCATTAAGCCAGTTTTTTGTTCCACATTACACCCGTTAGCTTTTAAAAATGGTCAAGGATCATGATGACATAAATGTTGACACTGTCAGAAAATACAACACATCTCAGAGAGAAGAAAAAAACCCTCTAACGAGCCATTATGAAAACAAAGCCAGCCGCAACAGAGACTTTTTCTAACAGTGGGCATCAAAACGCGTTACCACCCTGAGGCTTGTGACACTGTTGTCAGTGCATTTAACTTTAATCACTAAGCTTTTAAAAATCAACTGAGCCCAGTTTCACAAAAACTGGCTCACTCAACTATGTCAGTAACAACTTTTACTGCGAGGAGAATTTAAGAATCCATTTCCACATGTGTAACTTAGGCAATAGCAGAGCTTGTCACAATCCACCATTACAAAGCTGAACACTTAATAAGCCCAACTGACCAAATCTCCTCTAGTTTATGGTCGAGTGTGCTCTCTGCTGATTGTTTTTAAGGCTTTTATTGCATTAAAAACAGACTTGTCTACCTCGTGTGATATTTATGATATTTCTTCACAGACTGGCAGCAGCAGAAAACAAGTACATCAATAAAGTAGAAATGTCAAGTGGTGATCGAAAACTTCTCAGAAGTCTTCTGACCTTCAGCAAGTTATTATCTCTTGTATCTCTGGGGTCTTACCTTTCACATCTTCATCCTCCACAGTGGTGTTGCTGCTGTCTGATGATTCCTGGAGATCAGAGACAGACTGTCAGCGCGAGTTCAAATGTCATAGCGCACACATCCGCACTGAACACGCATGAAGACACACATCACACACGAGTGGTAAAGAGACTTGTTTTACACGCGACCGAAGAAGGGGCCGTATTTTTATGTCGTCATGTCAAGTCTTCACAAAAGCAAAACTGATTACAGAGCACCGAATATATTATTAATGCAAATTCAACTCATAAAAAAACAATCCAACCTTTGCAAATGTTAAGTCAAACCATGCCAGCAAAGCCATCAACCTAGTAGCTCATTATTCCACTGTGTCAACATCTTTGACTTCTTTTAACCCTTGACCTGAAACCTCTTTTCTCTTCTTCTACTCCAGGAGGAGCTGCCTCTGCTTCGTTCTCAGTGTGTGTGTGTGTGCATGTGTGGACAAGTGACATCTGTCCTCCACAGGGCGCTCTGGTCTCTTGTTGAAACTGACAGAAACTCAATAGAATGTGCTCCATCGATCTATTTCAACAACGGCAGCATGCAGAAGGGATTCTCAAAGGGCAATTAGTTGTCATCTTAAGCTCGGCTTCAGATTGCTTCAAATCTATCTATCTACCTTCTTCTGTATGCCTGGCTGTTTTTTTTCTTCTCGGGCTTCTCAGGAAGTTAGCTTGTGATATTCATTTGGCAGATTAAATGAGCCTAAATTCCCCTGCATGTGGAGTAGAGTCAGTGACCTCATTAGAAGTACAAGCGTGCACCAACAGCACCACGAGCACAAAGCACCAAAGTGGTGTTATAGCCTTCTAAAGAGCAGCTGGTGACCTGAGGAGAAGAGGAGAATAACTGTGTGTGTGTGTGTGTGTGTGTGTGTGTGTGTGTGTGTGAGGGACAACACTGTGGCAAGAATCCTCAGATATTAGAAATATCATTGGAAGTGTTATGACACCTACAGTTTGTTTCTTTTTGGTTCTGAACCATATTCAACTTTTCTTTGTGACATTTAGCATCTTATTAATTTAGTTTCATCCTGCCACATTACAGACAAGCTTTCAAAATGTTACCTACTAAAATATATAATAAATTAGCAAAGCAGGGATTTCCAAGCATCGCAGGCTGCTTGCTTTACTCATAAACCCTCCTGTTTCGGGTTATTTCCTTTACAGAGTTGGCATTACGGGAGCACAAAAGGTCAACATTGATAATTATCACATGCCCAAATCGACCAAACAAAGTGAGCAAGTGTTTTAAAAGTCTAGTAAGCTGCTCTAAACCTGCCTGGTGTGAAAATTAAAATGGCAATGTAGCAGTTTTCTTCCCAAATACTTTCAGTGCCTTCCTGATTAGCCTCTCTTTGGACTTCCTGAGACTGGCTGCTGTGCACTCCCCTCTGAGGTCCGACCCAAAATCAGATGGAAAGGTCACTCTGTCGTGATCTGGCCACTCTGTCGTGATCTGGCCACTCTGTCGTGATCAGGCCACTCTGTCGTGATCAGGCCACTCTGTCGTGATCTGGCCACTCTGTCGTGATCAGGCCACTCTGTCGTGATGCAAAATATGGATGTGGCTTCGGAAAACAAAGTTATGTTACCGTTCCCCTTTAGCTGTGCGCATCACAAATCGGCAAAAACAACTTGAGCAAACACAGTGGAGTGCACACACACGCACAAACACACACAGATAATAAATGCTTGGTCAGACCTACGAGGAAGAGGTCTTACTGCAAAGTCATGCGGGTTCATGCACATCCTTTAAACACATACAGACGAACTGTAGCGACTACATTTGAGAGGATAAGTGATGCGACCAAAAATCAATGGTGACAATTATATAAAAATCTCTCTATACATAAAAAAAAACATCATCATTCAACTACATCAAAGCTGTCTGACAACTTCAATCTAGATTCTATGATCTGTTGAAAGACCTTGTTTTTGCATTTGTTTAAAGCATATTAAGCAATACCGCTCATTATGCTGCACAACAAATGCGGAACAAAGGCAGGACGAGGAAGAAGCATGTGACTGGATGATAGTGGGTGTTTTAAGCTTATCACAACTACTACGCTGGTTAAAGAGGAACATTCGCTGCCTCAATCACCACTTGTTCCCTTCGTATTATGAAGTAATTTATCGGAGTGTAATCTCAAGCAACACACACACAAACGTATGCACGTACGCATTAGTAAACCGACGCTCACACAGACGCATGATGAAAAGAAGGATCAAAGGGCAGGAGAAGATGAGGAAGAGGAGGAGAACGGTAAAGAGGATAGAGAGTAGGTCAGGACTGGGGAATGATACATGTGTACCTTTGTCCTGTCCATTGGATTATGGATGACGGTTGTCTGAGGTTCCTGGAGGAAGAGGAGGAGGAGGAGGAGGAAGAGGGACATGGAGTAAATGAGAGAAATGAAAGAAAGGGGGAAAGAGAGAAAGAGAAAAGATTGTGATATAAAATTAGATGGATTAAGTGTAAAAAAAGAGGAAAAAAGACAGATCGGACAAAGACAGTGATATCAATGTTGGATGAAGAGAAAGTGCTTGTTAAGGTTGACAAAAGGAGAGTGGGAAGAATCCTTCAAAGAGATAGAGTGGGTGGATGAGCTGAAAACCGTAATTTGAAGTCAGAGAAGTTATTGAAACTCAGGGTGAAGTGTCTGCCATGAGCACTTCAGTACTCACACAATTTCTCTCTCTCACACACACACACCTCAACTTATTTAGGGTGTTTGGGCTCTCTTTAGTTCTGCATTGCCCTGATGTGCATTCATTACTCTAAATTGCTTTCAATGATGCAAATATGTACAGAATCAAGACAATTGTACATCAAAATTAGGAGAAAATCCGCCAGCTCCTATATTATAAACGAGCTCTGACGCAGATAAACACCATGACATCTCACAACACACTGGCACACCCAGCAAAAAACACTCATTCTGTTCCTTCACACTGGTCTCAAAAGAAGAGGCGAGCACTGCCGGGCAAACACCGGCATCATTTCAGGATCCCTTTTCTTAAAAGAAATTCGCTAATTGCTGTTATTTTGTCAGCATTGTGTGCACGTGTGCTCTGTCATTCCACAAGATTAGCCATATAAAGTTTCTCCGTGTTGTTTCGTCTGCTACCAACCCTCTCTGAATCTCCCTGCTGCTTAAACTAAAGCTATAGCTTCCACTTAGAGCACATTCAATTACAGTTTTCTTCGTTGCATCGAATATTGCAGTTACTAAAATCAAATGTGCACTTTCTGCTATAACACATTAAGTTTTTAGCACAATAAGTGGCTCCTTTCAAACACTGGTACTCCAACTTTGGGACTTACAAAGTCCACCCTCGTCACCTTTAACATCAGGCACTGATTGCTGATGATTCAGAATGGGAGACGGATATATTGTTCTGCTCAGAACAATATATCTCATTTCACGAACAGCCCCCCCAATATTTCTTGCAGCTCTCTTCCCCCAGGAAGTGACACCCGTGTGATGACTAATCATCAGCTTTCTCCCTGGTGATGATGGCGGTGTTGTCGTGGCAACCGTCGCCCAGGGCAACAGGCACCGGCGGCTACTTGGGAGTCGATGACGAGGGGGGGCGAGTGCTGACGGTGTCAAGCTCGTTTCCATCGACCCACAGAACTGCTTCCAGGTCAGAAAATGAAGGTTGTGTAAGTGTGTCTCTGCTTGGCCTAGAAGCTCTGTAATGAAGGAGTTAATGTACCGAAGGGCTGAATGGTACAACTAGCTCAAGGCCCTAGCAACGGCACAGGTGTCCTCCCACTCGCTATTCCCTTCAAGGATCAGAACAAAAGAGGCCTCTTCTGCTCCATGGTTCTGGCCACGCGCACCCCCAAGCATATACACTTCCCAACGAGGGCTTTTCAGGTACCTTTCATGTCTGCACATGTGCAGAGAGGACTGGCGGGCTAGCATCACATACATGCACATACACATACACACACAAAAACAGACAAGAGGAACAACTGTCACTTTGCCGTCTCTGACTGACAGCAGGCGGTTAGTTCTAATCTCTGTGTCAAGCCGAGGCAACTGCTGGATACACATCATCAACAGGTGATACTCAACACACCAGGGCCACCTCTGGGTTACATCTGTTAGAGACCCACTGACCAAAAGTTACATGCTATCATTACATGCTATCATTACATGCGGGTATGGAGCTTTTAAAAGTGAGTGTGCAGGAGTTCAGAGGAGCAAAAAAGTTGCTGTCTGAGTTGGTGGGATCGTTTGTGTGGCGTCTAGGATTTGGTTGCCAGTGACTTATGATTAAACATGGTTACCCGTTCGGGTCTTTAAATGGCATGATGTAACGCAGCTATTCTAGCTGAATAATTGAATAAATAATAAAATAATAAAATAGTGTGAGAAACGCCTTATGCTCTTATTCCCTTGTAAATGTAGCTCACTGCTGGAATACAGTTGAAATGATCTAATTTCATGAAGATTAATCTACAGAAGTTCACAACAAAACACGTGTATGATATTTTGGTAACACTTTCTATGACACCCATGTCTATACTGCAATATAAATATACTGATAATGTATTATAATCGTCTCATGTAAATTCATAGTTTCAAGCCCTTAGAAATATCTATAATATCTTTGTAAACAATTATCAAAATATATTATAAAGCAGTTTATAATGACTCATACGGTCAAGCATCATAATACTTCATAACTGCTTGTCACTCACTGTATTATAAGTCCCATAGTTGTTATACATTATAATCTTTTTTATAATGTGATTATAATGTGATTAGAAGTTACTTTAAGCGGTCATGGTTAGTTTTAAGTGAAGTCAAATGTATTGTGTTTTGTTCTTGCAAAGATTTAATGATTTTTTTCACAAGGAACTGTGATTAAAAAAAGAACAAAAGCATCTAAATTAGAATTTAAATGAGAGTAGCTTTGAAAGCCAGTTTGGCAAAAATAAAAGAGCACATGCTATGAAACTGTCCCCTCCTGTAGCGCTTCACCCTGAACATGAGCTTTACCTCATGACAAACAGAGCGAGGATGCAGCTTTTGCATGTTTCTATAAAAGGTGAAGATAATCTAAACAGATGAATGACGACAGTGAACCATAAGCAACATGGAGGTCATTTCACCAGCAATGTTTTTGGCACTAAAAAAAAAACAGTGATAGAAATCTTCTGAGAGGAAATTGGATCATTAAAAGTAGGAAAAAAAATGTATGTCTGATGTTAACAAAATGTCGCTGATGTCTAACAGCTACAGTTATCCTGTGATGACTGTAGACTAATGAACACGAGATGTTTGAAGTTATGTGCTGTCTCCAAGCAGCTTTTACAAGGTTGATCCTTCACTTCGCTGGTGATGCAGTAGTGAGCAGGGACCGGTTTGATTTTTGTACAGCACTGACATGAACTGAAACTAACGGCTGCCTGGAAGGTAGGACAATTAAAACTCTACAGTATGATATGCTTTGTAAAATGTTAAGATTATGTTAGCGTAAACATACACATGTATTCATGATATACACATGTTTATGTGCTTATTCATGCAAAACTACATTTAATAAGGATGTATTGTTGGGTGATCTTATTCTAACGGATTCACAAATGATGATGGCTTTTAAAAATAGAAAGTGAGGGGAAGTAGGAATTGTTGCGTCAGTTCTTAAGTCTACATTTCACCCACATGAAACATGTAAATAACACAAGATCCGAACAGATCAAGACGAGAAGCACAAATAGCCAAGAGGCCCGATGCCGAGTAAAAGTCCTGCTCTTGCTTCTGGACTATCCTCCCAGGTGTAAACGTGCATAGATTCCCTCAATAATGCATGCAGATTTGCATTCCGGCCAATCTCACTGGTGTTCACACCCTCAACAAAAGAGGAGGAATTAATCTCTGAAATCAGCTGGTTTGCTACTTGGCTGGAAAGACAATCTGAGGACCCTTTTGGACTGTGATGCTCGCGTGGTGGGGAACCGCCTCTCTACAGAGGAATACATAAGAAGCAGGGGGTAGATCGCACCGACAGTCCCAGCGGGCACAGGCTGTCTGTTCCTCTTTGAAACACTTTTTACTGACAGAGAAAATTAAACAACAGCATAATTTCAACCCGAGTGAGAGTCACATAGCATCCACACCTGCCCGGGGAAGACCTACCCGACCGCCGGGGCCCTCGCAGCGGCTGGGCAAAGATCAACCTCAACCCACAAGACGGACAGAGAGGATAAACAGACAAAAGTGAAGGCGTAGGGGGAGCGGGGTAAAGTGAAGATAGGGGTCTTGATGGACACACATACAAAGGTGAAGGGAGAGGGGGAGGTAAATACCAGAGCAGGTGAAGAGACGTTTCCTTTGGGGCTGGTGACTATGCTGTTTTTGGTGCTGTTTGTCTGGGGCTGTGCAAGGAGAGGAAAGGGAGGAGACACAACAAAGAGTGTTAACAACAGCAACAAGTGGGTTTGTGAGTGTGTGTGTCCATGCATGTGTGTGCTTGTAGGCAAGTCTGTGTCCTGAGCTTTTCACCTTGGCGTTTGACATCTTTTTGGTTATCAGTTGGAATTAGAAAAATAATTTAAGAAGAGGTTAAGGTCGGAAAATTCTCCCTCCACCCAAATGTAATAGAGGTTATTGGAGTCAAAGTCCAGTTTGTCGATTTGGAGCTAGTCATGGTTAAGAGTTGTATAATAGGGATACTCGTCATACCCGGAGAGGTTGGAAAGAAACATACGTTACAACGTTTCTATCGAAGCACATCATTAACTAGCGTCAGCACTTACAGGAACAGTGTTGTTCCTAATTTCATAGTCCTCTGTCTCACCTGGTGATGTGGTGGTTCACTTTTAAACTGTGATCTTTGCAATAGGTCCGTAATGGAATATGTCGAATTAAAAGATGGAAAATAATAGTCTCACAGTAAACTGAAGGTTACTGCAAGTCTAGTTGACGGCAGGCTGCAGCATTGATGAAAGGGTTACCGAAACCATTCATTCACAAGACTGATCTGTAATTCTGAGAGGTGACATGAGGGGGCGGGTGGCACTGCCTGACATCATGACGCCGTCACTGGCGACTTCAGCTGCTTAAGAGTTCACATCGCAATGTTTGAACTGTGCCATTTGGCCGCGATGAATCACCTTCATAAGCCTTGATCAAATGCTCCTTTGAAGGCCACACATCAAAGAGCGGCCGGTTTGTCATAGCTTAGCTCGATCATAATGACATTTGCATTGAATCTACATTAAATTACTTCTAATCTTGTTTGGAAGAAATTTAACTTGAGGTTGTTGAACGAGGCCTGGGTGTGGAAGTAAATCACTGGCAGTGATTCAGCAACCATTACATGAATATTAATCATGTAACACTATTAAGTAACGCTAATATTTCCTACTAGTGATATAGTCAGAGGTCAAGAGAAGTCATACATTACTCAATGCCTCATTGAGCCTTAATATAGTGTGAATGTTAAAAGAAAGTGGAAAGAAATATGCTGAAGAGGTGGGAGAAAGAGGCACAAAATGAAATGAATAATGTAAGATAATTTACTTTAAAGCTACAGAATTGGTAACCGTTTAACACACTGACTTGACGGATGGAAACAAAGTCAAGGAGGGTGTGTGTGTGTGTACTGTATGGGTGCATATGTGTTGACCATAGTAAGGTGCTGCCGAGGTGACGTATTTTTGTAGGCCAACCTCGAAGTTAGCATCGCACTGGTTCCCTCAACAAAAAGCCAATGGGATCTTTCCATTGGATTTTGGATTATTGCAGAAAATAAGCTCTGTGGCAAACAAACATTTACTTGCACATTTTGTTCAGCATGATCATTTTCACAAATGTATGATCTTTGAAGCGTAAATGCAATCACCAGAAGTAAAAAGCTAACGATTGACGTGTTAGCAACCAGCTTTTCTTAAAGATGCAAAAAAGCTTCAAAAAGAGAAAGGTATTTACTGGCGCATTTAATGCCGTAGAACTAAACGCTGAAATCTCGTAAGCTTGTGTTAACCACAGACTTTATTTCAGGCATCTAATCAAAAACCAATTCAAAAAAACCATTGACTTAGAGACGAGGGACCAGGAAGGAGAAGAGAGAAGATGAGAGGAGAGGAGAGGAGAGGAGGAAGTGAGCGTGGACGTCAGCACACACAAGTGCAAAGAGACAACACAAAGCATACACACACAAAACAGCCTTGAAAATAAAAGGTGGTGTAAGTGGACAATAAGCTGACACACACACACACACACACACACACACACACACACACACACACACACACACACACACACACACACACACACACACACACACACACACACACA